CATTCTGAATTCCACTGCTACTCACCACCACCAACCAAAATAATTTCACATTAATCCTCAGAAATCGTCGAAGTGTCCATACTAGGAGCTAGCATGTCAACTGCAGATACCGAGGATTTCGGTCCAGTATAGTAAGTCAATTAACGGGAATTATAAGAATTATTCAAAAACTATTCACATTTCACTTTAACCATGTGCGTAATTTGAATAGTCATAGGATTATTTTCTATAACATTAAAACTAAAACTATGTTTTATTAGATTTATATAATGCAGAAACTGTTTTATTGAAACGTTATTCCTATCAACTATGAGCACTGAGAGATTATACAATGATACAAATTGTATTTGATGGTTGGAGTCAATCGGAAGGAAGCCTTGCTTGACCTAGGTTTAGAGCTAGTCAACACTCGTCAGTCAGCAAGGCGTATCTGCAACCAGCTTGAAGGAACTGACTGACCAAGTTCGAATCTCAGATGAGGGATATGAGTTCCTTCATGCCTGATCACAGATATGCCTCGCTTACTGGAGGGTAACAGCTAGCACGAAACCTGGATCAAGCAAGGCTTCCTTCCAATTGCTTCCAACCATCTAATATCATCAAATCAATGTGCACCGTGATGGAAAGCTAACTAGAATGGTGTCCACATTGCAAACATGGCAACGTTAAACTTTAAGCACTACTAACTACCAATCAGCGAATAACCTTGAGCGCACCAATCACGTGAAGGAGGCATTTTTGTGTATGGTATACATGTATTTATGAGATAATGTGTGAAATCTGTGGAAAAGTGTTACAGAGGATACCTTCCCCTCACATGTGATTAAAATAGCTCTCAGTTTTAGATTGTAGGATCAACAGAATTTAATTCCATTGTGGGTAAAATTTATTTCGATAAAGTTTCATAGTGTAATAAAGTAATATTTCCTGAGCAATAAATTGTGTTGGAAACTTCCTCATCAGTAAATATTACTGTATAACACTGTGAGACTATATCAAAATAAATGTAACCCACAAAGCACAAGTATTATTCTTATATCAACAGAGTAATTTGACCACATTCTATGCATGTAATTATTTGGGTCCTCTAACCCTAATAATAAACCCAATCCTCCCTCAGCCTAACTATAAAGTGAGAATATCCCAAGACTAACTGCGATCTAACTCAAACCAACCCTGATCTTGCCCTTATTAGGTTAACCTAACCCTAACTTGTCCATAGCTCAAACCGCAAAAAATGAGTCCTTCCCAAACCTAAGCCGAAATTCGCCAGATACCCCATTTAATAGCCTAACACTTGGGATGAGCATATTTTATTGATGATGACAATATTATTTGCCAGGTTTCACTAAATTTCCCACTGGGTGCTTCAAGGTCACTGGTGCGGTCGCACTCCACTGGTAGTTAATGGTGCTTAAAGTTTACCTCGGCCTTCAATGTGATTCCCAGTATAATGAATGGTAGTAACATAGATGAGTTTGGTCATTTCAAAAGAATCAAAACAAGCCACACCACAGTACAGTACAAACGTGTTGATATGACTACCTCAGCGATAAATTGTTAGAAAATGTATTCCCCAGTACATTTAAGATTACTCTCTACTGTATAACATGAAGGGAATAACTAACCAATGAAGTCTACTGCTGAATGACCGAGTTTCAACATAGAACTTTGTAAAGAAGTGTGCCAGTTCAAATTTGGCACACTCCAAATAGTATATAAAGGCAGAGAAAAGCAATAAAAAAGAAGAGTAGCAATAATAATTACACATGAAGGTTTAGTGGATATAGGAGACCACAAAAAGTGAAAGGATCTGTGCTACAGAGAACAATTTTGAGCCATATCACTAATAGTCTCCAGTTGAATTTGAGATTTTACCGTCGATTGATTGAACCGAAGTGCTTGGTCTCAGGTTGACATCACTCACTGAGAAATGCAGGTACATCCAGATGACGAGTCCCAAATAGGACAGAAAGCGCGTTATCCTGGATTCCACTGCTAGTCACCATCCACCAATTAAATACTAACTAAATGCCCAGGCATCGTCGACGCATCTGCCCAAGAAGTAACCGACATGTCAGCCTGAGACCGAGCACTTCGGTCCAATCACAATCGACGGAAAAATCTAAAAGTTGACAAGAGGTGGCTAGCTGTCGTGGCCAAAGTGGTCTAGTGGATAACGCTTCGGCGTTTGAAACTGTGGGCACTGGGTTCGCGCCTCGGTGGTGGGAACATCATCATCACTCACTGAGAAATGCAGATACATCCACTGGCTGATGAGTCCCAAATCGGACGAAATGCGCCTTGTCCTGGATTCCACTGCTAGTCACCATCCATCAATTAAAAAGTCTCCAGTTGACATTGGGTTTTAGTATCCAAACACTCGAATATAAGGAAGTCAACATCTCCCCATATATTATTGGCTGGTTCAAAACAAAAGTCAAAGATTTAATAGTTTGATGCCATGTTTTGATTTGATCACCACCGCCCTAACCTCCTTTCAAACTCAATCTTTGCTAACTCCATTGCAGGGCTAAAATTTTATCTTGATAAAATTACACAGTGTGTTTGTTATACAGTAATATTTTCTACTAATGACCACATTTCGAGCATAATTTATTGCCACGCATAATCATATCAAGACAATACTCACACTGTCTGTCTATCTGTCTGGATTCAACATAGAACTTGGCACCGAAGTACAGCAGTTCGAGTTGCCACGTTCCAAATAGCCCACAGAGGTAGACAAGAAGATGAGTGAAGAGAATTAATAGTTTGACAAGTATAAGAGTGAAACAGAATGGGTAATGGTAGAAAGGAATATGAAAGATTACAGAGACTGAATACATCTGCGCCATTGACAACGATTTTGAGCCATGTCACCTATTGTCTCCAGCCATTGATTCCTGTGGTAGATAGAGTATAATTCCTTCAAAAGGCTGAAATGTTACTTGGATAAAATAACAGTGTGTTTGTTATACAGTAATATTTCTTACTGATGACCACATTTCGGGCACAATTTATTGCCACTAATAATCATATCAAGACAATACTCACACTACCCACTTTCTTGCTTCATTTATATATAAAAATGAGTAAAGATTGGTGATTAGACATTTGAATAAAATGAATTTAAGATAAAGTATATTCGGAAATAATAATATTAGTGTCATCAATAAAATACAATAGGATGGGTAACAAGGTGATTTTCGTCCCTTTTATAAATTTGGATAGTGTTATTAGAAGACGGAGATTATCTAACCTTAGCTAAATTCTCATGGTCTGAGAAATCTGACTACTTCCGATCTACTAGTTCAACCTCGATCATAGTCATTGCAAGGTATTTTGTAAATTATATTATTTTGGCTTAGTTAAGTGCGTCTAACAAACCGAGCAATAGCAATAAGTGGTACAACAGGAAAAACCTAAACGATGAAATGAAACAGATAGAAGAAGAAGCGTTGGTGTTAAATGACTATCGTATAAAATTCATTAGCAATAATCAACCCTACAAACTCACTCAGGTAGGACAACCTATGTAGGCTAAAAGACCCCGTCAGCTGACCCAATTAAACAAAATAATATAATTTACAAAATACACTGCAATGACTGTGAGTTGAGTCAACTACATAAGTCAGACTAGTAGATCGGGGGTAGTCAGATTGTCGGAATATAAGAATTTAGCTAAGGCAAGAATGGTTGACCCCGAGAGGATAAGTAATTTAGGAAAAAGCTCAGAACTACATTGCACTGCATGCATTAACACACAACCACACAGTAGCATGGTGAGTGGGAGAGGGTTAAAATTCTAAGGAGTAATATAGGTAGGTGGAGTGAGAGAGAGAGATTACTGAATCCTGCCTGGATCATCGAGTCTACACCCAACACAACACACATGCAACAGAAGTGACTCAATGTAAAATACCAGAGATATGGAAGATATTATTACCACGAGTCAGTCAAGTCAGAGGATAACAATAAATAATGTTAAAATGTATTTCAATTCACATTATAACATTCTAAAAGGTTACTTATTTTTACCATAAAACATTTTATTCCCCATCTTATTGTATTTTATTGTTAACACTAATATTCGTTCTGAGCGTAGTTTATCTTCCATTCTGTTTCACGCAAGTCTTATATTGGTTTTATTTAAATGTCTAGTCAATTTTTACTCATATATATCAATGAAGCAAGAAAGTGGGTAGTGTGAGTATTGTCTTGGTATGATTATGAGTGGCAATAAATTGTGCCCGAAATGTGGTCATCAGTAGGAAATATTACTGTATAACAAACACACTGTGTTATTTTATCCAAGTAAAATTTCAGCCTTTTGAAGGAATTATACTCTATCTACCACAGTGCGGACGTTTTATTTTTAAATACATATCAAACTTTGCTAACACAGTGCTCGATGGAGAAGGCAATGGCGTGGTATGCATAACGCATGTGTTTCATAGGGCACTACGATGTGGATTATTTAAGTAGGAGTTTATCAGTAGTGTAGTATAAAGAAGAAAAAATGAACAAATATCAGATGGTTGGAGGCAATCGGCCACAGGAAGCCGTGAACACCACCTAGGTTTCGTGCTAGTTGTCTCTCATCAGTCAATCGGCAAGGCGTATCTGCAACCAGCTTGAAGGAACTCATATCCCTCATCTGAGATTCGAACCCGCGTCACCCAGTGAGTCCTGCAATCAGTCAGAGACGTTACCACTGAGCCAGCTATTTGGCCTCGCGATCCACCTCCTGTAGGACTGCAGTGGGTATTTTGATTGCACACTAGTGTGACGTGTCTAATCCTTTCTTTGTTTGGTGCAGACTGAATTCTATCAGTCAGGTTTGCAGCAATGTGGCCACCATCATGCCACTAGGTAGCTCGCTATCACGCGGTGCACACATTGATTTGATAAACACAAAATCAAACATACGAAAAGCAAGTTAACTAATTAGTTCACTCTCACAAGTGCATCACATATTAGTAAAAACACACTATAAATTTGAAACAAGTAATTAGGCTTTTATTGTCTCATTGTTGTAAACAGAAGCAAAAATTACAGGGAAATAATTATTGATAATAATAATAATAATAATAATAATATAAAACTATTATAAGACAAGAAATGAATACGAGGGAAGTGATATGTACAAAAGCGAGAAACGCGCCAAGTGATACAGTGTCGTCATAAATTAATAATAATAATAAGTGTTGAACATGCATATTGATTAAGCAAGCCAATAAAAAACTGCAAAAATTATAATAATATCTGTATATATGATATATATGTACATAAAGTAATACTGGATACTCCCTGAGATCATAAAATTTGGGTTATTGTTGTTGTGGTTTTGCTGATAGATCATCATTAGTCATAGTTTATATTCCAGCATGGATAATAATTTGGCTTGATATATACAATCTATAGAGAAATATACAACGGCATAAACAACTCAATTTAAATTCTTGTAAGCGTTATACACGTAGACATATGATATACAAAAATGGCATATATTGAGAAGGTTCATTTATTCACAGAAAGTCAACAGGGAAGAGAAAAACTCATCAACTTGAGAGCATATAGTTGAGAGGATATTTGCCAACTTAAGTTATAGCTGATTATATATATTCTCTATAGTGTCTGGTATTCAGTGTCAAACAAACTGACAGATTGCATGACCTCTGAAAGTGGAATTCGACTCCAACAACACAGAGGTTACTATGGCAATATTTGGCAGTGGTATCGCACTAATAATCAAGGCATTCCACTTGGACTTACGTTGTAACGGCAGAAGACAAAGGCTAGACAACAGATTGTTTATTGAGAAAATCAAGAAATAGTCATAGATTTTTATGCACATCATTGGTTAGAGGAGAAGAAGTCTCTTCTGATTGATTGTGGCCGTTTCCCAGAAAGTCAAGCCATATATCTGCGAATCGCATTTTTACACGCCAAGTCCTCTGTGATTGGTTGGTGAGTTCCTTAAGGTTAAGTTTTGTTATTATTTTTCTCATGACGCTGATTCGCGAGGTAACATTGACGAAATTGTTGCTTACAATTTTGGTATGTTCGCGGCAAGCTCTCACTACAATGCAACCGTGTAAGAGTTTACGGACAGTTACTATCTGAAATAGTGACAACCAGTGGGATGTCCATTATTCCCATTTCTCTTTAGATTTGTCAAAGATGTACTAATGGGATTAACCTTAACTGGCCTCATCGACTTGGGGAATAATCTTGTTGACTTAGAACATGCATATGAAGACACTGACAAAATAGAGTAAAGTCTTCTAAACACTTTCATGAGCAGCAATCTTCGAGTGTGCGGCATACGGTTCGCCCTTATCAAATGTAAGATGATGGCTACAGGACTGAACTACATCGACTAACTCCTAACTTGAAGTTGGGGAGCGTGTTGACCACTTCACTTATATTGGAAGTTGAGTCAGCCAATCCAAGAGGGTTGGTCGTTGATGAAATCTCAGCACGGATACAGAAGGCTCGTGTGGCATTTGTCAACTTACATCATCTCTGGCGTACACATGATATCCGGCTATCGACTAAAGCGATATGGGTACCGCACAGAACAGAAGTTCGCACTGTCCTTCTTTGTGAGGATATGAGACATGTCGGTTAAAAGTGGAAGACCTGAAGAGTCTAGTTATCTCTGACCACAGTTGCGTTCTATCTCTCGTGTTACGTGGTATAATAGAGTGAGTACTATTGAAGTTAGGCGTAGAGCATCAGATACAGAGGGGAAGTTGTGAAGCTATATCGATTGAGATGGCTCTGTCACGTGTTACGTCTTCCCCGACGAGCAATATTAGCTTATATAAGAGTAGGTTGGAAGAGAGTTTAGAGGTGATCGAGCCAAAACATGTCACCAGTCCATGAAAACCTTAACAGTTGATTTGAGCCACGTAAAAAGGTGTACACTGGCTGGGTGGGACCTTCGATATGGTGAGAACCATTGGCAGCTGGAAATTACTGGTGATCTTGGTCAAAAGCGTTGTAAGTAATCTAGATGCATTTACTCCCTGTGACCCACCCCCAAATCCATTAAACCACCATGTTTTTCCATGTTACTATTCTTTCTCCTTGACCTGATGAATGACTCATAATGAATCTGCAGCATTTGCAGTCATAACACTATGAAACAGGGGCTCACCAATATATACCACCAAAAACAAACAATTTTCATTCTCATAAAACTTCTTTATCTGAACCAGCAATTCAGTGAAGACGCATCGGCAGTAATACTAAAGAACTACAATTTCTGTTCATTCAGCGTAGCCTTCGCAATGGTTCTCATAAAAGTGAAAGGTAAGCTAGTACTACTGACCTCATCAGTGAGTATCTGTCAATGTCAATGTCAGTTGTACTCAGTATTTTCTCTCCAGATGTGCCATGAGGGTGAAATCTTATGTTACAGACATCCAGGATCAGAGGAGCATGACAAATTTTCACTACTTTGAAATCCGTATGGAAATTTGCTGCATTTAGCCTACGGAACAACATTGGAATTTTCTATACTAGTGTCAAATCAGCGCTTCTGCATGGTTCAGAGAGACTTGGAGCATTTGTTATCAACAAGCATTTACAACAACAACACTGCAGACTTTCACCAACAGCTGCCATCTTCGCTACATACTGAAGATCAGACAGTCGAGTAGAAAGGATTGACAACAAAGAACCCTGGCAGTGCAAAGAACAAAACAAAATTCTATTTCCTCAAAAATATGACAAAGTAACTGGAGATGCGTTGGATATACACTGAAGACACTGTTGATTGATATCACGCGCCATGCAGGCATTCAAGTTGAGCTGAAATGGCGAAGAACGAGTTGTTCGTCCGAGAGTGAAATGGAGGAAATGAAAGTTCTCTAGCATTCGTGGAGTCAGGTTAAGAAAAATAGACTACAGAGAACAGGGTGAAATAGCGATGTACTCCGGACCACGCCTAAGTTCCCTCAGGACCCAAGTGAATAATAATTATTTTTTTTCAAGATTTCATCATGAGCTGACACTCGTTAGAGAACCATTTGAAAACCTAGGAGTACTGGATACCTGTTTCATCCTAGTTTGGGACTCTTTAGTACTGCGCACCAACCGGAGTTCAAACACAAGGGCTTCCGGTCGCAATGCAAGTTAGTGGTAATTTATGCTCGGAATATCACCTAATTAATAAGGCTACATCACTGTGTATCATTTCCGGTAAACCCTGCAGGTGGAGTGGGGTACGCCAAGTCGCGTGTGAAGACAGGCATTGGTTAGCAGTCACGCCACAGCGTGAATTGACAGAAGTTGGAATTTATGGGTTAGCTAATGGATAGGGTCTCAGTGGCTTAATAGTGGTCTACGAGCTCACCTTGTAACCGGAAGGTCCTGGGGTTCGAACTCTAGCGTTGGGTGTGTACAACTGAAGAGTCCCAGATTAGTAGTAGATAATAATTGACCTGTTCTCCCAGGTTTTCCATTGGTTCTCTAGCCAATGTCAGCTCATAATGAAATGAAATCTTGAAACGAATCAAATCGCTGAAAACCAACACTTGAATAATAATAATAATAATAATAATGATTTGATTGAGCCTATGTAGAAAGAAATATTTCATATTTACAGATGGCAGTCACTTGATTATCACACTAATCACTGACCAACTTATGGCAGAGGAGTCAGATGCACTCAGAACGTGCAGTTCACATTCAACGACACCATCTACAGACAAAAAGATGGTATTGCAATGGGATCTCCGTTGGGTCCACTACTATCAGAGTGCTTTGAGGCAAGCCTCAAGAGAGGTCCACTAAAGTCGAACATTGACAATTTGCGACTTTATAAAAGTTACGTGGACGACATTTTCATTATTTGCGACAACAAGAATGACCCCAGTCTACTTCTGAAGACATTTAACTGTTGCCATCCAGCAATAAAATTCACTCTTGAAATGGAAAACGAGTCGAAAATTCCATTTCTTGGTGTGGAACTAACAAGAAGAACTGATGGGAGCCTAAGAAGATCGATTCACAGAAAACCTACGTGGAATAGTTAACTAACAAACTTTTATAGCTGGGTGGTACCCATTCAACAAAAGCGGGATTTAATTAAACCACTTGCCACCCGCATCACCCGACGCATCTGTTGTCCCCATGTTCTGGAAACAGAATTAGATATTCTAAGAGAAATCTTCATCTAAAATGGATACCCAATAAGATTGATCGACAAAAATATGAAACCAATAATTCGGAGAAACGAAACTTTAATTGCGCCTAAAAAGAAACTCTACATGAACTTGGATTTCAAGGGACCTTTAGCCAGCGATATTCTCAAGAGAAGGATCACATCGTCTCTGAGAAGAACATTCTTTGCAGCAACGCTAAGAATAGTGTTTCCAGTCGCCGAGTGATCTGCAGAAGCCTCAAGGACAAGATCCCGCATCTGACCACTTCTATGTGCAGATATCAGTTCACTTGCTGCTGTGGCGCCAGATACATTGGTCGTCCGGCACACATCCTATCCAAAAGGGGATTCAAGAACACTATCCAGCATCGTTACGAAAAGACAATAGTAGTGCAATAAGGAGTGAGATAAATGAACACCTGGTTAACACATTTGAACAAACGCCTCCTACTTCAAAGTAATCTACAGAGTCAAGAATGACCTATCAAAGGCAATACGGTTTCGTCTTCTTTGTATCGCTGAAGCTCTGACCATTCACATAGAAAAACCAGAGCTGTGCATACAAAGGAGGATTACTCAACCACTTCTACTGTACTGGTAACAACTTTTTTTCATTTTGATGACTTGATTTTGTTTGTTTGCCTGTTCTTTAGTCGCTTATAATCCTTGTATTCATTTAGAACTCTCACCTAATTTCGTATTCTCTACTTTCTTCCTATGTGCATCCTGAGTAAACCTCAATCATCAAACTATTCATATTATCACGTAACTTCTTTTTTAACAACTGATTGTGACAACTCATCACCTTTGTTACTACCCTAATTTCATTAACACCTAATTTTCTTAACTTGTATTACCTACCAATCTTCACCTGTTTAGTTAAAATAACCATAAACAATTGTAATTTTCAAGTGTTGGTTTGTAGGGATTTGATTGGTTTCAGGATTTCATCATGAGCTGACATTAGTTAGAGAACCATTGGAAAACCTGGGAGTACTGGACCATTGGATCGGGTCCCAGTGGCTTAATGGTATACGAGCTCGCCTTGTAATCAGAAGGTCCTGGGTTCGAATCCCGGTGGGTGCGTACTGCTGAAGAGTCCCAAACTAGGACGAAACAGCTGTCCAGTACTCCCAGGTTTTCCAATGGTTCTCTAACTAATGTCAGCTCATGATGAAATTGTAATTTTGTTTGACAGACTTAGTGTACACATACATACAAAATAACACACATATATTTGCGA